CCATACAGTGCATCAGGCTACACGACCGCTTTGACAGGTAAGTTCACTTTGATTTTTTTTTCTTTACCTCTCTGTCATCACCGCCATCTTTATAAGTGTATTTACGATCGTGTGTTTTCCAAGTGTAATATCTGAATGTCACTGCCGTTATCGTCGTTTCGCTGTATTTCCTTATTTATTCGATTTTTAGTCTCTCCATTCAAAACTTTATCTTCACATGCCTCTTCCCCTTCCTCCGCCCCCACCCCGAAACTGACCTGACCTTTGACCCCTGACCTCTGACCTCAGCTCCCGTGACCTCCTGGGACGCCCGACTTCCTCTCCCACAATTTTTGTTGCTAATTCTCAATATGTCCTGTGTTATTACTCGTCACCTCGTCACCTTCTCTACGCTTTGTTTCTGCTTCCATTTTCATCTGATATTTTCCTTTTTCTTTCAATCGTTTTTTTTTTCTCTCTTCATATTCCTATTTCATCCTTTTCTTTCGTTTCCATTATTATTATGTATTTATAGACTCATTCTACTATCCGTTTTAGTTTCCCCTCGTCGTAGCGTCCGTCAATTTCCGTTTTCTTTATTTTTTTCGCTTCGCTTCTCTCCATTTTATCAAACGCGTCGGAAGCATAAAACAAACAAACAAAAAAACGTGAACACTAAAACTAACCTACAAAAGCATAACTATAGAAAAAAAACGCCAATAAATAGGAATTATAGTTAAAAAAAACGAACAAGGTGAAAAGAAGACGCGCACCAGAGGAGTAAGTTCAAGGGTGAGTTTGTTACCCCTTGAAGTGAACGGAGTAAAAACTTGTAGGACTGGATGGCTGATGGACGAGGGAGGAAAGAGAGGGTGAGAGGGAGAGATAGATAAATCAGAAGAAAGAGAGAAAGAGAGAGAGAGAGAGAGAGAGAGAGAGAGAGAGAGAGGGAGGGAGGGAGGGAGGGAGGGAGGGAGGGAGGGAGGGAGGGAGGGGGAGACGGGGGGAACTGGAGAAGAAGAGGGAGGGATGGAGAGAGAGAGAGAGAAAGGGAGGGAGGGAAAGGAAAATGGAGAGGGAGGGAGAGGGAGAGGAAGGGAGGGAAAGGAGAAGAGGGAAGGGAGAGGGAGGAAGAATAGGAAGAGAAAGAGAACGGAGATGGAGGAAGATTGGGAACAGACCCACACCCCACGTCCCTTATTTCTTTTCCCTCCTTTTCCCATTTTCTTCCCACGGTCTCTCTCTCTCTCTCTCTCTCTCTCTCTCTCTCTCTCTCTCTCTCTCTCTCTCTCTCTCTCTCTCTCTCTCTCTCTCTTCTCTCTCTCTCTCTCCTCTCTCTCTCTCTCATCTCTCTCTCTCTCTCTCTCTCTCTCTCTCTCCTTTTCCTCTGCCCTTCGTCCACTTTGTTATTCCCAACTTTCTAACCCTTTCACTTCCCTCTCTCTCGATTTATTCTACTCTCTTTATTTTTCTGTCTCCCTTCTCGTCACCTCCTCATCCCCATCAGTTTTCTACTTTTCCCTTCTCTTCCTCTTCCTTTTCGTCCCTTCTTCCTCCTCCACATCATCATCATCCTCTCTTTTTCTTTTCATTTTCTGTTTTGTTTCAGCCTTTCCCTTTCGTTCCTCTTTCCATTCCTCCTCCCCTCCTTCCTCATTCACTGTTCTTATGCCTTTCTGTTTTATCTCCTTCCTTTTCTCATCCTCCTTCTCTTTCTCTGTCTCCTCATTCTCAATATCCCTTTTCTTCTCCTTCTCCTTTTCCTTTTCCCCCTTCTCCTCCTCCTCCCTCCTCTTCCTCCTCCTCCTCTTCCTCCTCTTCCTCCTCTTCCTCTCCTCCTCCTCCTCCTCTTCTCCTCCTCCTCCTTCCTCCTCTTCCTCTCCTCCTCCTCCTTCCTCCTCCTCCTCTCCTCTTCCTCCTCCACCTCCACCCCCGCCTCCTCCTCCTCCTTCCTCCTCTTCCTCTTCCTCCTCCTCCTCATCCTCCTCCTCCTCCTCCTCCTCCTCTTCCTCCTTCCTCCTCTTCCTCCTCCACCTCCACCCCCGCCTCCTCCTCTTCTACTCCTCCTCTTCTCCTCCTCCTCCACCTCCACCCCCGCCTCCTCCTCCTCCTCTTCCTCCTCCTCCTCTTCCTCCTCCTCCTCTCCCTCCTCCTCTTCCTCCTCCTCCTCCTCCTCCTCCTCCTCCTCCTCCTCCTCCCTCCTCCTCCTCCTCCTCCACCTCCACCCCCGCCTCCTCCTCTTCCTACTCCTCCTCTTCCTCCTCCTCCTCCTCCTCCTCCTCCTCTTCCTCCTCTTCCTCTTCCTCTTCCTCTTCCTCCTCCTCCTCCTCCTTCTCCATCACCACCACCACCACCGCCTCCTCCACCTCCTCCTCCACTTCTTCCCCCTGCTCCTCCATCTCCGCCTCCTCCACCACCACCTCCTTGACCTTATTCTTGTTCCTCCTACTCAACCTCCACCTCACTTCCTCCACACCCACCACCACCTCTACCTTCACCTCTTCCTTCTTCTTCCTCTTCTTTTTCTTCTTCTTCTTCTTCTTCTTCTTCTTCTTCTTCTTCTTCTTCTTCTTCTTCTTCTCCTCCTCCTCCTCCTCCTCCTCCTCCTCCTCCTCCTCCTCCTCCTCCTGTTCATGCATATTCCTGTAACTCTCATAGGTCATAGATATGACATGTTTCCTTCACAGCTTTAAACAAATGTGATCATTGTCTTTAAAGCACCCTCGTTCATGCGGTTGTTGCAGCTTCTCTCCTCCTAGATGTTTAGGACCTCTGAGTAAATAGCCTTTAAGAATATTTGCTTAAAAAAAGCCTTTTCAGCAAAACGCAATGAAAGTAAGCCGCGAAAACGAGAAAGTTTTTCATAACAGCGAGCGAAAGGCGAGGTCGGTTACCCAGCAACACCGAGTCACACAAGGTCAGACAGCTTTGCAAAATCGTCCTTTTTTTTACGAATTCTACTCGGTACTTTCATTGTTCTCTGAGGTATAATTTATTGCATTTAAAGTCCTGTTTTGTAGACGGTTACCATTCATGTATCATTTTTTTTCCTTTTGCTTTTGTGATCGTTGCGATGCCAATGATCAATTATCCGGGTTTTTTTCATCATAGTTAAAGTACGGAATACAAATGCTCACCTATGATTGGCTTGCATCATGCCATCCCTAGCATGAATGCCAGGTGGGGGGACTGTCCACCGGGTAGACAATACGTGGAACCTCATTACGTATTCAGCTCACGCAAAACCCGAGTTCAGCGATATGTTAAGCGCGAGGACTTGTGGAGGACAAACGAAAAACGAGATGCGCAAACTGTCCATTATGCTAGAAGTCCGGGGTCGTTACATTATATGTATGTGTACGTAAAACTTTTCTTAATTTCGAAAAGTTTGATCAAAGGGAGAGATAATAGTTAATTGATGTTGTTGCTTTTTTATGTGTGTGCTTGAGGCAAGTAGGAAATTCCCAGAGCGACCCGGGTCTAGGAAGATCGGTGGCATCTGAAACATCCGGACAAGAATCACTTTTCTGCCTCGTCGCCCCCGATGAAAGTCAGGAGGTACGAAATAAGGGAAGAATTGTCGCCGCCTCTTTGTATCATCAACACCAGCCCCCAAAAAACATGTCAACCTATTCATCGTTTCAAAACAGACACGGAATTCCAATCAATATCGAAAAGAAAGAGATATAAAAAAGAACATATCCATAAAAAAGGGAACAAGTAAAAAAAAAAAAAAAGTCTCCTTTTAAGTGTTCGGGTAGCTCGTTCACACACCCCCTCCCCCCCTATTCCTGTTGGCGGGCGATTCAATTCCGCATTCCCCCGTTAACCCGTTAATCTCGGCCGTTGTCCTGACCTAAGCCGACGCAAGAGGAAGGGGGGAGGGGAGTAGAGTGGTATGAGGGAGGGGTATGACAGAGGGGAGGGGATAGGAGGGGGGAAGCGAGGGGGCAGGTGGATGGAGGGGAAAAGGTACGGGAATGAGAGTGGGCAAGAGGAGGGAAGAGGGAGAGAGACAGATAGAAAAAGAGGTGGAAGGGAATAATGAGGGAGAACGAAAAAAATAGAGAAGGAAGAAGAAGAAAAAAAGTAAAAGAAGAAGAGAGAAAGAAGAGGAGGACGGAGGAGATAAAAGAAAACAAGGAGAATAACTAAGAAAAGAAAGAAAAAGGGAGAGTAGACGGAATAAAGCATTGACCGCGACGCTATCTTCTGAGGATGGGACTGAAATAAAAGAAACAGGGAGGGAAGGGAGGAGTGAGGGAGGAAGGGGAGGAGGGAGGGAGGAAGGGGAGGAGGGGAGGGAGGGAAGGAAGGAGGGAGGGAGGAAGGAGGAGGGAGGGAGGGAGGGAGGGAATGAGAGAAAAAGGGTGGGAAGGAAGGAGGGAGGGAGGGAGGGAAGAGAGGGAGGAAGGGAGGAGGGAGGGGAGGAGGGAAGGAAGGAGGGAGGAGGGAGGGAGAGAAGGAAGGAGAGAGGGAGGAAGGGGGGAGGGTGATGTAATACGAAGAAAATACAGATGGGATTTACGCAAAGGCTACCTGGCTGTCATGAGAGAAAACTTTTTTTCACCATTGTTACTAGTCTTATCATTATCAATAACATTGGTAATATTAATTTCGATGTTACTATTGCCTTAATAATCATCATCATTAATGCCACTGAGGTTGCGATGCACATCTCTCTTCTTCTCTTTTCCCCTTTCTCCATTTCCAGCCCTCCTCTCTCTCTCATTCTCTCTCTCTCTCTCTCTCTCTCTCTCTCTCTCGCTCTCTCTCTCTCTCTCTCTCTCTCTCTCTCTCTCTCTCTCTCTATCTCTCTCTCTCTCTCTCTCTCTCTCTCTCTCTCTCTCTCTCTATATATATATATATATATATATATATATATATATATATATATAGTATATATATATATATATGTATATATATTATATATATATATATAGTAGTATATACATATGTGTGTGTGTGTGTGTGTGTGTGTGTGTGTGTGTGTGTGTGTGCCGTGTGTGTGTGTGCGCGCGCGTGTGTGTGTGTATGTGTGTGTGTGTGTGTGTGTGT